TTTTGTATTTCTATACACATTATGGAATCAGGCTTGTCAAGTTTTATTGTAAACCTACTTGGGATTTTGATTGGGATTGGGTAAAGCTGAAGATCAATTTGGGAATAGGCAGGTTGGCTGTGCTGAGTCTTCCAGTTCATGAATATGGTGTCTCTGCATTTATTTAGATCTTCTTGAATTTCTGTTTTGTGAATTTCATTGTAGAGGTCTTGTTAAACTTATTCTTAAGTATTTTATATATATATTTTAAGGTCTATTTATTGAGAGAGTGTGCACATGCTGTGTGGGGGACCAAGGGAGGGGCAGAGGGAAAGAAGCAGACTTCCTGCTGAATGCAGAGCTCAGAGGAGCTCCATCCCATGATCCTGAAATTGGGACATGAGCTGAAACCAAGAATTTCAACTGATTGAGCCACCCAGGTACCCCAACTATTTTATGTTTTTTGATACTATCATAAATGTATTCTCTCTTCATTTTCCAGTTTACTGCCAGAAAAAATGTTATTATATAATTTAGTGTAAATATATGTGTATTGTATGTATAAGTCTCTAAACTTATACATACTCTGTATGGGCTCTAAAAAGGGCTTTTAGAGACTTATAACTTTCTGTGGTGGTGTTGATTTGTGAGTTTTAATCATCCTTTTCTTTTTCTTTATTGTTCGTATCCCACTATAATACTGAAAACAGGTAGTGAGCATAGACATTCATGCCTTGTTTTTGATCTTAGGGGCAAAGCATCCTTCTAACTCTCTCCTTCCTCTGATGCCATCCACTGTTGTGTAAACTCTGGAGCAAATATGTTACTGCTGTAGTTTTGCTGGTGTGGTATCAGAGAATGAAAAGCCATAGGGATAAACATGGTGCATATTCCTGTAAGGCCCCCTCTTTGGAGATGTTCATTAAAACTTTCTATGTTAAAATGAACACTGATACCCTGGGGATTAGTTACAAAATGCACAGTAAATTTTAGATTATAATAAGAGACTCAAATTTTGGTAGAGCACTATTAGTCTGTGTTTCCACATTTTCGCTTCCATCCAGCCCCACAGCTCTTCAGTGCTGCTGTTCTCTGAAACGTTAGCAAATTTTAGATTATCATTTTACTGATCTATACTTTTTTCTTACTTTGAATAGTTTCTTGTTTACTATATACATCAAAAACAAGGTATTTGGAAAGTGGTTAAGGACATTAAATTGTAAATTCACAAAGTTTTGGCTATGGATGGTCAGCCTTTTTTTTTAAAATTTCAACTTTATTTGGCTAATGTGTTCAATTCCAGTATCATGGTAGAAATGGCTGAAGAATAGCCTTCATGTGGTTCAGCTCAAGCACCCTTGGGAGGAAGAAAATGCCGCTTCTGTTAATCTGTAGCAAACAAAAATATTTATAATACACCTCGATGAAATCATGGGTAAAGGAGCTTCTGAGAAGTTTCTAGGGAGCAAGGGTAGAAATTAAAGTACCTAGCTATCCATTTTTTTAAAATTTTTATTTTATTTTTTAAAATTTATTTATGATAGTCACAGAGAGAGAGAGAGAGAGAGAGAGAGGCAGAGACACAGGCAGAGGGAGAAGCAGGCTCCATGCACCGGGAGCCTGATGTGGGATTCGATCCCAGGTCTCCAGGATCGTGCCCTGGGCCAAAGGCAGGCGCCAAACCGCTGAGCCACCCAGGGATCCCCTAGCTATCCATTTGTTGTGTGTTCATTGTATTGTTCTATGTTCTTTAAAATAGTTGAATAGTTGTTTGTAGTAATTTGAGTAGTAAAATGCCATTAATATACTTACAACATGTTTGTCTCTTTAAAAGAAAGGTTTGTTTTCAATCTTGAGTTTTATTCTTTTTCTAGTGAGATTTTAATGTTTTAAGTCTATTTTCATATTTTATTTTTTTTAAGGATTTTTTTTAATTTATTTATGATAGACATATATATAGAGATATAGAGAGAGGCAGAGACACAGGCAGAGGGAGAAGCAGCTCCATGCCAGGACCCCGACGCAGGACTCTATCCCAGGACTCCAGGATCGCGCCCTGGGTCAAAGGCAGGCGCGAAACCACTGAGCCACCCAGGGATCCCCTATTTTCATATTTTAGATTCTCAGGAATACAAGCCTTGCAGAAGAGAGTAGTGGCGGTATTTTTTCTGCCTCTGTGCTTTTTTTTTTTTTTTTTTTTTTTTTTGTCCTTAGCTCAAGAACCTACAAAGGCTCCAGAGTTCTCTTCCTGGTTTTTCAAGTCCTCTTCAGTATAGCTCCATCTGTTCAACCTGTCTTGAGTCTCAGCAGTGTTGTATCTTTCTGTTAGTCCCTTCTATGCCTTTGTCATTTTTTTCTTTTACTTAATGAGCTGTCATGTTCAAGGTTACCTAAGGTCTCTGTCACTTGCTCAAGGTTACCTAAGGTCTCTGTCACTTGCTCAAGCCCACTCCGAACTGTTACTTGACTTAATCAGTATCACTTTATTTACTAGGGTTTCAATACATTTTAATATATATATTCAGGTAGCTGGTGGCCTTACTAGCTAGAGGGCTTTACTACAGAGTGGGTTTACTGTAAAAACCAAAATGAAACAATGTGTACAGTTCAGTGCTTAGCTACCTAAGATACTTCTACATTTCTTAGTTACTAAATCAGCATTATAAATCACAATGAACAATTTCACTATGATAATTGTTTTGTTCCTATTTAATTTATCCATTAAAACAGTTTACTGGGAACCCAGTATTGATAGGCACTGGGGGGGGGGCGGTGCAAAGAAGACTGTATAAAAATTAAGCCATTAAAACTGACAATAAGATCACTGGTGGCTTTAGGCAGTGGGAGTTCAATGATTAAAAACAGTATTTTTTTCCTTTTAAAATTTAGCAATAAAAGGAAGAAGGAAACATGGAGAAAGTTATAAAACGGAGCAGTATAGAGAAATGCTTTATTGAAAAAGGAGAATGAGCATGTTAGCAAATGGTAGATAAGAATTTCTCCAATGGAAAGAGAATTCATATGCAAGAAATGGCATAGGGAAAGTAAAGAAATTTTAAGAACTGATCATGATGTGAGTACAGAGAAGAGAGATTTGAAGGCACTTACCCATACGCATTGGACTTCATTTTCTCCATAAAGCATGGGGCATACCCTGGAAGTAGGGGTATGAAACTTACGTGAGGGTAGAAAACTAAAGGAAAATGAACCAGATCTAGCTGGGATAAGGAAAAGCAGTCTAAGAGGACATAGGCAAGATGGATGCCAAATAAAATTTACTGATCAGCACAGCTGTGGTCTACAGTAATATTTGGTATCCCAATAAAAAGGATTATTTAATAATCAATGGACCCAGTTGGAAGAGAAAGGAGCAGGTTAAATCCAGAATCTTTACATGTTAATGTGTTCCAAGCACAAATATCACAGCCAGTTTTTAGTTAGAATTAAAGAATAGTCTTAGAATGAGTTAAAAGTTATGATCAGAAAGTATGATTTCTTAGTTGAGGTGTTAGTATATTACAGTAGCGTACGATATCCTGGAAAGTGCTTCCAGACATTTTGTTGAGTAAAGCCTTTTCCTTCCCTGTGAAATTTGTAGTTGTTAAACACAATATAAGGTTTGTGAAAAATGGTTTTCTATGGATAGTTTTAAGTTCTTAATTTGCGACTGGGTGAAGTATTAAAGATGTTATTTGAAATGAATGTCTAAAAGGAAAAGCTTTCTCGTGTTCTGTTGGCTGGGTATCTGGATTCTTAGAATGGTATATAGCTAGTGGGGCCTGGATTCCTTGTGGTTGTAGTTGGTACTGCAAAAGTTTATTACTTCCTAAAGATTTTTATTGTAAAAAAGACGACATAAAATTTACTATCTTAACCATTTTTAAGCATACAATAATAGTGTTACATATGTTCATATTACTGTGAAACAGATCTCCAGAACTCTTTCCATCTAGCAATACTTAAATAACTCCCCTTACCTCCTCCCCTGGCCCCTGATAACCACCTTTCTGCTTTCTGTCTCTGAATCTGACTAGTCTAGGCTCTTTTGTATAGTGGAATCATACAATATGCATCTTTTAAAAAAAAGATTTATTTATTTTAGAGTGAGAGTTTGAGTGTGGCGGGGAGGGGCAGAGGGAGAATCTCAAGCAGACTCCCCACCCAGTGTGGAGCCTTATATGGGACTCCATCTCATGACCCTCATGACCTGAGCCGAAATCAAGAGTCGGATGCTCAACTGACTGAGCCACCCAAGTGCCCCAATATGCATTTTTTTGTGAGTGGTTTATTTCACTTAGCATAGGTCAGCAAAGTTATCCATGTGATGGCATTTTCTTTTTAAAGGCTGAATAATATTCCACGGCATGTATATATACCACATTTTGTTTATCCATTCATCTGACAATGGACATTTGGGCTGTTTCCATCTTTGGGCTGTTGTGAGTAATGCTGCTGTGAACATAGGTATATAAATAAATATCTTTTCAAGACTTTTCATTTCTTTGAGGTACATACCCAGAAGTGGGGTTGCTGGATCATTTTGAGATCATATATTCTATTTTTAATTTTTTGAAGAACCTCCATACTGTTTTTCATAGTATTGCTCTGTTTTACTAATGATTCCTTTAACGTGAATGTGATTGAAAGTATGAGATGTACTTTAATTCCATCTTTTTAAGAAAGGTTTCTTCTTAACAGTGACCTTTCCTTTGGTTGTAGTTTTGATACTGAGAATAGTAGTTATTTTCATGATTAAAAGTAGAAGGAATGTGCAGCAAGTTGTGAATATAAGTATGGACACCACTGTTGAAAATGAATACCTTGGGATGCCTGGGTGGCTCAGCGGCTGAGCGTCTACCTTCAGCTCAGGGTGTGATCCTGGTCCCCACCCACATGGGGCTCCCTGTAGGGGGCCTGTTTCTTCCTCTATGTCTCTGCCTCTCTTTCTGTGTGTCTCGTGAATGAATAAATAAAATCTTAAAAAAAATGAATACCTTTCCATGTTTTTATTTCTTTTGCAGATTGGGAAAATGAGGTACGTCAGTGTTCGGGACTTTAAAGGGAAAGTCCTAATTGATATTAGAGAATATTGGATGGATCCAGAAGGTGAAATGAAACCTGGAAGAAAAGGTGAGATTTAATTTCCTGAATTTGGTCCTAATATGAGGACTAAACTAAAAATAAAGTAACCTACCTTATTTGAAACAAATAATGTTGGCAGTGCATTTGGAGCATCCTCATTCAGTTCATGAGTAGTGGTAATCTTTTAGACATGTTATTTAACTTATTTTAGTGACATCTTAAATAGCTGTTGGAATACAACCCAGAAAAAATTATACCCCTAATATCACTTCATTTGGCTGCTAATTTGCTTGGATAGAACTTAAAAAAAAATTTACATGAGTTCTTGGGTAGACATTATCTGGGAAGTTGTAAAATTAGGAATCAAAAATTCTGGTTTACAGTGTTTCCTTTGGGTTCGTCTCCTGAAGGATATCCGTTGGGGGGGGGGTGGTGGTGGTGAGTATCCTTTTAGTGGATCTTTGTCCTTTTTCTGTTGTGCTTCACCCAGTCCCAGGCATATCCGCATCGTAGAAGCATACTTATCATATAGCTAGAGAATGCTTATGTGCTAACAAATTCATATATTTGGGTAGTTGGCTGTTACAGGTTGATCTTTAGCTAATAAAAAAATACCTCCTTATCATCTTCTACTCTGCCTGTTTGTCATATTGAAGGACCTCTTGTTTGCTTCATACAGATCTTAGGTTAATTGATCCTAACCTCTTTTCTTATTCAGGGCTACTGCTGGATTGCTCATTCAAGTCATTTCGTTGTGCCCTATGCCGGATTTCTTTTTGTTCCTGCAAATGTTTACTAAAACAATTTGATAGCTTTAAAGTCCTTCCAAAGTGTTGACCCACTATGTTCTTCTGCCTTCCTCTCAATTTCATGGTCTCCCAGCAGTTTTCTGAGAAATACAGTAATTCTTCCACTTCTGGTTTATTTCTCTGTTTAGTTTATTTCTCTGTATGGGTCAAGTATTAGAATATTAGAAGTTCCAAGTGCAAAGTACTTTCTCTTCACATTTTTACCTCTTAAATAGAAAAGACCTGTTATTAGCTGACATTTTAAATGTTTACTTTTGTGTCAGATGATACACTAGGCTTTTTATTCAGAGTAGCTCATTTATTGACTCACAACACCACTTTGAGGTGTAAATACCATTTTACTAGTGAGGAGACTGAGGCTCAGATAATATCTCCCCCCCCCCCCTTTTTTTAAGGTCATATAGTTAGTGATAAGGAGGCTGGTATTTGAACCCGGACAGCAGGACTTCAGAATGCATTTTTAACCACTGTGTACATTCTGAGAACTCCTGTATGGGTCACATCCCAGGAATTTTTCCAAAATGAATGCTTCTGGGAGAACTTAGCACAAAGTTGTTCACCTTGAATTCCTATAGAAATTTTGAGCAAATGTTGGAACCAATTAGATACAGAAATGGAGTGTCACATGCCAAATCTGGACCTGGCCACTTAGGCCTGCTTGGTTGCAAGCTTTTGTGAGTTACATCTTCAAATCATTTGTTCTCACAGGCTATAGTAAGTATTATGCAGGATACAATGTTGGAAATAAAAATGAAACATAAGACTGGTCTGCCACTCGGGTAATTGTGATGAATCTGTAACAGATTAAGATTTGACTCTCAGTATGGTACCATCGGCATTTGTCTATAAAAAAGTATTTTAGTTGGAAGTATGAAAATTGTCAAAGCTTAAATAGATTTCTGACTTTTAACTTTTAAAACTTTTTTTTAGGTATTTCTTTAAATCCTGAGCAATGGAGCCAGCTGAAGGAACAGATTTCTGACATTGATGATGCAGTAAGAAAACTGTAAAATCAGAGCCATATAAAACCTGTACTGTTCTAGTTGTTTTAATCTGTCTTTTTACATTGGCTTTTGTTTTCTAAACGTTGTTTTCCAAGCTATTGTATATTTGGATTGCAGAACAATTTGTAAGATTGAATACTTTTTTTTTATGTGCATTATTAAAAGTGTTCTGAGTGAAGCTAATTGTCAACTTGATTAAGGAGGATTGCTTTGTGCCCGCCACCTAGTGTAAAATAAAATCAAGTAATACAATCTTAACTGTTGTGGCCTTTTTTCAAAAGAATTGGTACTGTTTAAGGCCAAAAGTAACAGTTTATAGACCTGTTAGTTTCACCTTGGCTTTTACATTCAAAAGGATTTGTATTGCATTGAATTTATAAACTCTGACTTGTGAAAACCATAGTTGATCTATTTTCTTCCAGCCCAATGTCTAGACTTGTTGGTATTTCCAGTGATATTTCCCTTCCCCCCCCTTTTTTCTTTACATTGTTTTCCTTTAGTAACTTGTCATGTTCCGTTTTCATTTCACTTTTTGCTCTTTTTCTTGAATATATTATACTAATTTGGAAAGTCAGTGAAACTGTCAAAATGTTAGTTATCTCAATAAGGTACTTGTAATTAAAATATATGAGAACTACAATCACTAATTCTACTGTATTAAATATTAGGAGATATAGTTTGATAAACATGGCTTGTATGAAAACTGAGCAAGTAAGTGTATGTCGTTACCTGTAGTGTTCTGTGTAGTTACCTTATTGCTTAGTCTGCAGAGAATAATGACTTAGATGTCTGATTTGCTTTCACTTATTAAACTTGTTCACCATGGGATGATGTCTATAAAAAATCAGATACTGTTATATTAGATTAGGATTTAATAAAAATTGTGAAAGCTTACTGGCCTAACATTTTATTTTGTAACATTGAGTATGGATTATATATAGCCAGGTATATCACTGAGCTTTACTGTCATAGTAGGTCATGCGGTTAGTTTTTGGAAGAAAGAGTATATGGAACATATACTTCTGTTTTTTTTTGGCCTTTTCTTAGTAGACTTGATTCCTTTGCAGTTAGTCTACTGAACAGTAGTATTCTAGACTTAATGTTACGAAGTTTTAGCAGGCACTCTGAAATCATTTTCATTGAAGCATAGTGATAAGCAGATCCAGATTGAGGCACAGATTTCAGGGGCTTTGCAGCAATAAACATGGCATAGTGTGCCTTACGAGAATTTAAGGGAACTACAACTGAAATGAAAGAAAGTGGCAGTGAAGAAGAAGGAATTCTCTTCAAACTAAGTGAAACACATGATATTTTGATCACGTTTATAGAACACAATTCTAGATGGAATAGTTGAAAGGTTTAAAGACCTGTAAAAAAAAATTCTTGGTAACATTGTTTTTGGTAGCTAATCTTAAATGGTTTATTGCCATATCAGAGAGTTGCACTATTATACCAAGTTTGATTACTGCGTCTAAAACATTTTATAGTAGAATTGTCGAGGACTTGATTTCAAAACTAGTTGCCAGGATACACATAGTTACTACATTTTTTTTTTCTGGCAGCTATTCTGTTTTGAGTATGTTTTTACAGTTTTTAGATAATTTTTCTAGTGTTTTTAGCAGTAACCCTAATAGGTGCATAATTGGGGGAATCTCTCCTGGTATTTTAGCCTCCTTCAAATAATAGGTATCAAAAATGTTCAAAATGGTATTTTAGACAAACTATACTTGATTGAAAACTTTCCCCTTATTTGGGAACATATATATGTGTTCTGTTAACTTAATTGGATGGATTTTTAAAGTATTCCTTTACTACATATACAGAAAGGATATTAGAACTCAGAACTTTGATTTTGGTGTAGTTGAAGAGGAGAGAGGATGGGTAAATTTCCTAGGTATATATGAATTCAGGGTGTATGCACATTTTGAAGCAATCTGCTAATACAGGGATGGTGCTGAAATCTCTTACCTAGGCATTTTCTTAGCTGTATAGCATGTTATTAAAACCTTCATATAAGGAGTGCTTCCCTGACATATTTTGATAAGTTGACTGCTAAATTCATTTGAATCTATTACTGGATATGCAATATACAGAAATTTTTGTCCTTTTTTGGGTATAGGAAATGAAAAGGTTTAAAAGAAGAGACTGGTTAATTGTACTGAGAAGTTAGAGGACTGAGGTTTCCTGTTTAAACTTCCCTTCTTGGTAAGATTTCTTCCAGGAAGAAAACTTGTCATTTTAAGGCAGCGGTTTCTTACTTTGTAATGCCAGAATGAATTTAATTAATGCCAGCCCTGAGTGTACTTGTAGAAGAGTTTTCCTAATGGGGTTATCTTCTTTATCTTTTAAAGTATGAGTAGCTTTTGAGCAATTTCCAGTGCTGTTGGCATTTTACTTAAAGAACAACCACTAAAAAAGAAAAACTATAATTTGATTATTCTCTTTTGCTTTGCTTCATAACTGCTTTTGAAGACTACTCCTACCTCATTAGCTCGTCAAGTTACTGTGATGATGTACATATTTCTACTTAGGAAAAAAAGACTTAGGGGAAAAAAAAGTATGTACATCCTGGCTTGGCTGTTGAGGGGAGAGAGAACTGAGTGTTTCTTATGTGTTTCTGATTAGGGATGTCAGGAGAGCACTATAAAGTTTGAAATTTTTAAAAAGTGCTGGCTAATCTTTAGGTATCTCCTAAAATTCTTTGCTATTTACTTTTCATAGAAAGTAATCCAGTGAAACACTTAAATTTTTTTTTTAAGTGTTATTTTCCAGATAAAGTCTAAGGGTATAAACATTGGCTTAGTCACAAATATGTAATTCTGTAATCGTGGAATAACCTGTGTGCTTTGTTCGGTGCATCTTCCATGGAGATGTCAATGAATATAGTATTCCATCTGTGAATATTTTAAATGTTCAAATAAAAATCAGAAATGTGCCCTATGTGTCATCCCAGTTTCACAGACCTAAAGACGAATGGCTTAGTTACCTGTTGAATGGGTTTTGTTTAACAAATAGAATGCCTTCCTGCGTGAATGCTTTTGGAATGTGAATTCTTAGCATAAATCTTCTGAAGACCTCTGGGACTGGACTGGACCGGACTGGACTGGATGGAACAGGGTGGGGTAGGATGTGCAGGTTGAGGTGGTGTGGGCCTGTTTTCCCCATCTGTCTAATCCAGATGGAACAATGCAAATTCTAAGGTGTACAGAGTCTCTTTTCTCTCTTTTTTTAACCTTTTTGTTTTGTAGTCTGATTATTCCTTGTTATATTTAACTACATTGAATGCTAGACTCCATTGAGTATTTTAAACTTACATTTTCATTTAGAAAGTGTCTCTCTTTTCTTAGTACTTTTGCTTTGTTATATTTTGAAATCTCATTGTTCAGATTTCTGTTCAGGGAAACTTAGGGATAGAAAGATCCATGGAAGACTACCCATGACTCTTCTTGGTCCATCCAATCAACTGTAAATTTGTAGAGCATACTGACTCAGTCCAGTCAAGAAGGAATTTGGAATTTACACAGTTAAATCACTGACTTTATAGTTTTGTATGTCTCAAGTTACGGGATTAAAAATGGATTTAAAAAGCATAAAACATTAAAAAATTATGGAATTATTTACTGTGTAACACTTCATCCAAGACTTAATACGTTTTAAGGTACAAGGTCTTGCTACACAGGACTTTTTCCCCAACTCGCTTTTTGTAAGTCCTTTACAGAATTTAGACCATCCTGTACCTGCTTTTAAAGCCATTTCAGCCCTAGAGTAACAATGACGTGTTTCTGAGGAAAGGAAAACACTCCTTTCACTCTTGGGCTCTTGATCAAGTTTAAATAGTTTATCTTTCTTCTTGGGTGACTTATTTTAGCTTGGAAATGATTTTAGCACCCTTTCTTACTCTAGCTCAGCCAGGAAAAACACTTATTCTGAATCTCAGCAGTTGGATTCCATATCCCAGGGTAACAAAAGCACTGTGTAGAAAGTGCTTCCTCCTACCAGCCATACCAGAACTTCACTAAAATTGTGTATGTCGTAGCTCATGTGTGTTGAAAGCCATGTGAAGTTCCGATTTGCCCTATTCTAATAACACCAAGTCTTCTGATAGCTCCTACTCTGACTCCCCCCCACCATACATAGTTATTGCAATAGTGGTACATATGTAAATATATTCTCTCCATGGTAACCTCGCTTAACCTAGAGGCCCCATTCAAATTCTGCCGATTATTCCAATAATGTCTTTATAGCAAAAGCTTCTTAACCCATTTGATAGTTGTCTCTTTAGTCTTTGTTCTGACACAGTTCTTCAGCCTTTCCTTGATTTTTACAACCTTGCCATTTCTGCAGATCTGTCTTTTGTAGGTTGCTGGTGATGGTGACAGTGGGGAAGGCAGAGGCTGGTTGAATAAGAAGCAGAGACTCAGCAGCTTGGCTGTAAAGGATAAAGAGAAATGAGGGGTGATGGTAGCCGGGTGGCTCAGCAGTTGAGCATCTGCCTTTGGTTCAGGGTGTGATCCCAGGGTTCTGGGATCAAGTCCCCCATTGGGCTCCCTGCAGGGAACCTGCTTCTCCCTCTGCCTGTGTCTCTGCCTCTCTGTGTCTCTCATGAATAAATAAATAAAATCTTAAAAAAAAAATTAAATGACAGGTGGGAGGATGTGGGGTCAGGGGAAATCAGTGTGTGATCGAAACAGTGCAACATCTGGGTGTGGCTACGTTCAGTATATGTTTAAATTGACCTTTGTGTGTCAGCTGCAGTTTCAGTCACTTCCCAGTTCAGTTTTCTGGTAACTTCTTCCTAAGTGCCACCTGAATTGTGAATACTTTCAGTTTTTTTAAGGAAAAAATCTCTGTCTACTCCATTTTAATGTGAATGAGATCATTTGGTTCTCACTTTTTGCTCTTCTGAGCAGCTCAGCTGTTCAAGTTCAGAGCATGGACTTGTCCAGCAGTGCGTGTTGGCCACTGTGCAGTCATCCCTGGTGCGTGAGCCAGTCACGAGCCTCTCCTGTTTATTGTTTTTTGAGGCATGAGCTCTGTTTCCTCTGTTCACTGTTGATCTTGGAAGATGAAGAGAGAGAACGTTTTCATGGATTCACGCTTGAGTGATACAAAAGGATGAAAGGGTAGTGAGAAGGTGTATGGTAGTAGCAATCTGAAGATTTTCAGGAATTTGAGGGTTTCAACCTCAATCTAGGGTCAAGAGTATCTCCTGGTGGTCAGGTTTGAAGACCAACCCTTTATGTTATTAATTGGGAAGTAATTTCAGAAGCTTTATGATTTTCCTTAAAATTCTTAATTTAAAAAAAAAAACAAAAAATTCTTAATTTTTTAAGATTTTATTTTTTCATGAGTGACACAGAGAGGCGGAGACATAGGCAGAGGCAGAAGCAGGCTCCCTGCAGGGAACCTGATGCGGGACTCCATCCAGGATCTCAGGATCACGCTCTGAGCCACCCAGGCTTCCCTCCTTAAAATTCTTTGTTCAGAAACAAAGGTTTTTTTTTTTTTTTTTTTTTTGTCATCCAAAAAAATCTGTCACTCAAATCTGTCTTTGATCTATGACTTTTTTTTTTTTTTTACCACCCCCCCCCCCCAAATACAGGGAAATGCTTCTTGCTCAGCATAGAGTCATTAACTGGTAGGCAGAGAAAGCTCTCAAACAATTGAGAACATTTTCAACGCATTAGAGTCCTGTAACAGTGGTTCTTAAATTTTTAAACAGAAAGGAAGCTATTAACTTGCTGTAAAGCAATGTTCAGAGCAGTGTTGTCTCAAGCCACTTCCATTAGAAAACCACCTCCAGAAGGTCAATGGGTGTGAGAACTTGGAAAGAAATTTAAAAATGCACTGAAGTCTGGGTCTGTAAGCTTTTCAACTCCAGCAATCTCCAGGAGGGAGAAAAGGAACCGGAGTACTTACATTTCTTTCCTGTACGTATTGAAAAAAATTTGGGTTAGACTCCTTTTTAGAAATTTTTTTTATCTTCGGAAAGGCGGAAGCACTAAGTTGAATTATGAAGTTCATGTACACCGTCCCTTCCTGTAAACTACCCAGTGGAGTAGTAACCACTTGGATTCGTTGAGTGCCAGGATGGAGAAGTGTGGTGAGTGGTGGGCATTTTCCTTCTCTTCCCATCTAATATTCATCATGCCATGAAAGGGTTCTCTTCTCACTTTACAAGTGACAGTGGAGGTTTCCAGAGAGCAGCTCACTTGGTAAAGCAACAAAGAACATGGCAGAAGCAGAATTTGAATCCATGTCTGGCTAACTCCAAACCTGAGACTGTTTACCTCAGTATGTTCCTCTGATGCAGGCCTTGGCGAGTGGCGGAATTCTCTCTCGCTTCATCGATTGGGCGGTGGACCTGACTGCAGAACCATCGTCCTGATGTTCACTGGCATCATAAGCTTGGGTTGTTGTCTGACCCAGTGAATCTTGTTCACTGTCTTCAAACCACATTCACAGCACCAACGGGAAGGGCAGTCGTTCATCCTTGCACCCCAGCACGTAGTAGCGTGCATGCTAGGGTTAGGTTGACTTTGCCGAACCCTTTAATCAAGGCTGAACTCCCCCAAAGAGTCTGTGCTGGATTGCACCTGTTAGGTTTTGCCACTGGCCAGAGCTCCTAAAATTGAGACAGGTTGAATTTTTTTTAAAGGATTTTAAGTAATCTCCACACCCAACATGGGGCTCAAATTCAGGACCCCAAGATCAAGAGTCACATGCTCCACCAACTGAGCCATCTGCGCACCCCAGGTCGAACTATTCTTGAGTATAGGGACTAGGATTTCGTTTTGTCTTGGTCTCCACTAACTTCAGGCACCATGGGCTTTGTGATAGTGTAGGAAAAACAACCGGTGATGATAATACTGGGGAAAAGAAGAGAATTATATGAGATTTGGCCTTATGATCTCTTTTCCCTCCTCTCAACTTTTTTTTTTTTAATTTTTTTAAAATTTATTTATGATAGTCACAGAGAGAGAGAGAGAGAGAGAGAGGCAGAGACACAGGCAGAGGGAGAAGCAGGCTCCATGGACCGGGAGCCCGACGTGGGATTCGATCCCGGGTCTCCAGGATCGCGCCCTGGGCCAAAGGCAGGCGCCAAACCGCTGCGCCACCCAGGGATCCCTCCTCTCAACTTTTTAATGGGTCTAATGAAATTGGACCTGGAGGCTCTCCACTGTATGTGGGCTGTCTTCCGATGCTCTTCTAAATCCACTCGGCTCTCTGGCCCTGCAGGCTGGCCGGATGGCCACAGCCCCAGGCGCCCCTGCGCTCTGGCTTCTGGCTGGTGCAGAGCCTCACTAGGAGATTGAAGAGACTTAAGAATAGAGGTCCCGTATCTGTTCCCTTGAGTTCCTCCCTCCCTCCCAGGTCCCCTTGGGCTGGCTGTGTCCCTCCACTAAAGGTGACCTCTCAAGGAGCTTTACCCAGTTCTCTCCTGATTTCTAGTAGTCACCCCCTTACCTCGTCCCTTTGGGCCTAATGTTAACTATCTGTGGTCTTATACTCGACTCGTGTTTGTAAACAGTCTCTATTAAACCCTTCTCATGCTGCGGTGGGAGGGTGCCACCTGCTTCCTGTTGGCCCTGTGACTGCTCTGGGAATGGGTACCAGAACGGCCCCAGGAAACACCCTCGCAGTTGTGTAGCGGGCACATGTATCTGGAGAGGACAGGGCGAGTGTCGGTGGGGGCAGTGAGACCTGAGGAAAGCGTGGTCTGCGGCTGTGCCACAACTACCGACTCCCAGTGTGGTGGCGTGGAGGTGCAGTTGAGGGGCAAGGCTTCAGGGACCAAGCCGCTGGGGCTTGGGACCCTTTATCGATGCGGCAAGTGGGACTGACAGCCCGGAGAGAAGGTACAGAGGGAAAGAAAAAGTAAAAGCCACGCACATAAAACTAAGATACTGAAAGAGCTAGAGAGGCTCCTTGGCA